GGCGGGACGGCCTCGTGCTGGTTGTTTGTCTGTCCCCGTGGGGGGGGGCACGACCGAGTTCAGCTGCTGAGCTCAGCCCTGCTGCTGGCATCTGCTGGCTGCCCTGTCCCTGCACCTTCGGTGCATGGGGATACCTTCCCAGGCCGCAGCCTTTGCTCAGGATGAGATCAGGCTAATAGTGCCTTCTATTTTTTTTTCTCAAACGTCAAGTGTGTTTTTTGCACAAATCAGGCTGATCTCAAGGCATAGGGCCCAGAGGTGCTGGAGCAGCCACCTGGCCTCGCCATGGGATGTGTCTGTGCCGGGGCTGCACATGAAGTGCTCTTCGCTTGGCAGCAAAGAGCCATCCTGGCCCATGGTGGAGGAAGCCCTTTGGTTGGCAGGTGCCGCGTGGGACGCCACCTTGTTGACATGCATAAATGCAGGCCATGTGCCGAGGAGACGCCCAGGCCAAGCAGCAGCCTGCCGAGTCGGTGCTGCGGGGTTGCTGGACAGCCAGGGAGGCCTTGCTGCCCCTATTAATCCCTAACATTCACCAAAGCGACTTTGAGGGCGGTTGCCCCAGTCAGCATCATCCCCTCCAAGCAGCTCCAACCTGTGCGAGGCCGGCCTGGCTCCCTGTCCACGTAGCAGAGGAGAGGAACAAGCGATGCTGGCCCAGGGAGCATCAGTTTTGGCCTTGCAGGCGTGCTGGGTGCCCAAAGCTTCAAGGCCAAACTGCCGGGCCTTGCCCCGGCGCTCCAGGAACTGGCTTTAGGCTGCAGCAAGATCTTCAGCAATCACTTCTGCGCCCGCTTCCCCAGAACAGCGCGGCCTCCTCGCGCATGGCCTTGGCGATCAGTCGCTGAAGCACAAAAAGGAGAAGGCAAATCTCATTTAAAGGCTAATTATCTTAAATCTGTCGCCAAAGGAAGCTTAAAAATATGAGCTAATTGCCTGTGCTAATGGCCAAAGTGTGTAATTAGAGCCCGCTCGCAGCCTGGGTACCTCGGATTATTGCATGGTATTTCTGCCCGGGCAGGTCCCGTAGTCTGCTGTGCGTGTCTGGCTCATCTGCTCGTGTCAGTAAGTCTGCAGTTACGTGCAGGAAGAGCTCAGTCTCTATTGCAAAGGAGAGGTAGTGCTTGCACCACGATGACTAGCTTGGACTAGGTCTGCATTAGAGATACTCTGCTGCTACCACTCCTGTGTTTTAGCCAGCAATAAGCACAGAGCCCTCACTAGGATCTTTACATGGATAGATTTGCCCAAGGCAGGCTAAAAAGTGTAGAGCACGTTTTTGTGGCAAAGAAAACAAGAAAGGGCAGTTGTGACCTCAACTCTGTAGGTGGCTCAGCTAGAGAAGAGCCATGGGCTAATAATTTCACCTCCTATTTCAGCATGGTTAATCTCTTTTTGCCTTCGGACACTCCATAAAATGGTGCAAAATAGGGTTTAGTCACAGATTAAAAACACATATTGCATGCATGTTTTTAAACTTCCCTTAAATGCCTGCTCTGGGTCATTTAGATACCTCATTAGACCAGTCCCAAAGAGAATCCAGTAGTGTCATTGGCCAAAGAGGGTTTGATATCTTTGTAGGCCCAGGGAAGAGCCCACGTAAAATGGAACAAGAGCAGCCTTATTTCTAGGTGGGTGAGAAACACTGTTGGGGTTGACTCTGCCATGGAGCTCTCCCTGAAGAGCCAACCCTGTTCTGCTAAAGTCAGGCAGTTGTGTATTTGCCTTCAGATGAAGTAGCTCTTCAAGGCAATGTAAGAAACACTTGTGAAACCAGAGAAAAGTACAGGGTTCCTGTGGTGCCACTTTGACCACAAGCCAGTTGTGCTGTAGGCTTCAGAGGGCATCCACCAGCCTCCGTGTCTCTCCATGTGCCATGTCAGACCTTCTGAAGTCCTAACCTCATTCTGGTTGGTGAGGTCTTGGGTTCATGTCACCAAGGAGAACTTGAGCTTTCTCTTGCCAGCCCAGACATATGCTGGAAGAGCTGCTGCAGGTACAGATGGTCCTGCTAGAAGTCAAAGCATTACCAGCTTGCATTATGAGCCATCTGACCCCACTCTGTTGAGGAAGAAGTGTGCACATAGCAGCATCTCAAAGCCACCAAAATTCCTCATCTGATTTCAAGAACTGAACAGAAGTTGCACAATTTGACAAAACCCCAGCTCACCATCACTACCTCTTTCAGCCCTGTCACATTCGCATGCCTTGTCCTGGCTGGCAGTCATGTGTATCGCACCAGAATTGCAGCAGGGCCTTGGGTTTTTCCCAAGCTCAGTGGTGGACTCAGTGCTCTGCCTGTTCTCACATAGAAGAGCACCGCTGTGGAGACCTTTCTCACCCCGGGTGTCCCAAAGGGCAGCCAGGTTGAAGGTTCAGGACATGCTATCCATGTGCTCCGAGCAGAGCTGCCACCTAAAAGCCTCCAGCCACCATTCCTTCTCTGAGCAAGACTGATCCTCTCAGGAAAGGCCCATGTAGCCTTCAAATGCACAAGATGGGGGCCACAAATAAGCTGCATCCAGGTTTCATGTCTGCACGAGTTTGCTCACAAAGCTCCTACAGCCTCCTCCTGCCCTGAGGCTTTCTTGGGCTGGATTGGCACTTGTAAACACTTCGATGTTGGGGAGCACCAAGGGAGCACCAAGGGCCCAAGGTGCAGAAGGAGGGCAGACAGAGGTGGTGCAGCCTAGTGGGCTTGCTTCTGGCCTGGGGCACCACCCCCATCTCCTGGCTCACACATGGGCAGTTTTTGGTTTACATTTTTAGCCACCTAGTTATGGGTCCTCCCCACATGAGGTAGCTGTGTGCTGGGCTTCGGAAGCAGCTTTGTGCCACGGCCTCTCCTGGTAGAGCTAACCATGGTTAGGGCTGAAGATGACGAGAGGCTCCCAAACGCCCAGATTTGTGCTATGGATAAGGAACGTTTTGCTCCAAGCGTCTCCGTCTTTCACCATGAGTCGGTTACATGCTGCAAGAGGTGCTGGTCTCAGCCCAATGTGTAGGGGCCGGGCAGCCGCAGCGGCCGGGACAACAACCCTTGGAGAAGAGGAGGGTGACAATTGCATTGCCCAGCTGGAAACCTCAGAGATATGGGCATGGATGATAGTGAGGAGCTCCCTTAGTGTCTCTGCTCTCCTGGTGCAGAGCCTGGGGCAGTGACACAGTGAGCAGGGTGGAAGCAGCGGCTGGTGAGGACATTCAGAGGGCAGCCAGCCCCTGCTTGGCCCGCAGACACCCTGTCCACGGGGTGGGCGGCCCAGCAGGGGATGAGCGGTGGCCACCTCTACTCAGAAGAGCTGCTGTGCTGCTTCGCATGCTCGCAGTGCGCGCCGAGAGCTCTTCCATCACCCGGAGCCTTGGTTCTAGCATCCCCCTTTTTCCACGTCTCTTCCAGATGACCTTTACCTTCTCGGACCAGGTGGTGCTGCTCTTTGACTTCTGGAGTGTCCACAGCCCTGCAGGTAGGCTGCGAGTCCCAGCGCGCTGCCGCGGAAGGACTGTCCCCGGCCACCACAGCACGGGGCACCCAGCGACTCCCTCCTCACCCTCCACGGGGGTCCTGGCAGGCGCTCGCTGCTGCATCAGGGTGGCGCCAAACGTCACCCCGAGCTCCTGCAAAACCCCAAATGAGCTGGAAGTGTGCAGAATGTATGGCCATCCTCTTGTTAATGGAAAAAATGGAATTTCAGCTGAGGCCAAACTACACTTTGGGGAGAAAATAATGATGTTGATTAGCCTGTCCACTCCAGGACCCAAATTAAGCTTTTGAAATCAAGTCTCCCATTCACTCATGGCATAAGAAAGTCTCAGCTTCCCATTTCATTTTTTTTCTTCTCCCCACACCACACCATATTTTAACTCCCATATTTGCGCTGAGTTTATTTTATGTTTTCCAGAACTACCATCTCTGCATCTTGGAAACAGAGAAGGTGCTGGCTCAGATTTGGCAGAGTGCCTTGGGTCCCAGTGCTACAAATTTGCTGCCCATTGCTTCAGCCCGAGCCCCAATCTCAAAAGCATTTTGGCTGCCACCATTCCCTGTATCCTGCCCAAGGACGTGCCCAAATCTGCCAGACCTCAGAGCCCCGGCCCCTTTTCCCTGCTGCGAAGGACCAGGCTGCCAGCACCAGCTGGATACCAGCACCTGCTGTATCCCCTCAAACTCGCTATCCTGCCTCTGGCTGGCAGGCCATGGGCAGCCAAGGGGGATTTTCTCTTGTAGGGATGGTGCTCTCAGTGCTTGTCATCCTGCTGCTCTCCGTGCTCTATGAAACGGTGAAGATTGGCAAGGCCAAGGTGCTGCGCCGGGCGATGCTGGCCCTCCCGCGCAGTCTCAGCCAGGAGGCCTTGGTGGAGCAGGATGAGGACGGCGGCGGCAGGCAGCACGATGCCGCGCAGGGCAGGTACCGCGCGCCCGCGAGCCGCCTTTCCCCCTGCTTGGGTTCTCATGGGCAGGGGCCAAGGGCTCTGGAGGGAAAGGAGCCACTGCATTGAGTTGGAGATGGGCTGGTCAGCCCCTAAGAGCCAAGAACCCTTGCGCCTGAGGGATAATATCCATGGGAAGGAAGCATCTTCATAGCCTTGTCCTGGAGGAGTCTGCCGTCTCCTCAGGCTCCCCAGGAGTGTTTCTGCTGTATACAATGCTTATGGGCCCCCGTGAGCTGCCATGAGCGCAGTGGGGAGGGCATGGATGAAGTCCACATGGAACAGGGACAGGCGCTGCGTTCGCTCCAGCACACCTTGCCCAGGAGACTCCAGTCCAGCACAAGTTGCTTGTTTCAGGACCCAGCTTTTTCATTTTATATTTAATCCCACATGCCATCTGAGGCTCCTCCTCATGCCAGCTCATTAATAATGGGCTGCTCATTAATTTGGCCCTTAGAAATGAGTTTCTATTTGCACCACCATTTGCGAACAGCCTCACAGTTTGGCTCCCTCACAGTTGGCTGCCCACAACCTTGCAGGCACTTGTTACTGTGTTTCCCCGGCTTGCTAACGGGGCTTGGCTTTCTCCCCAACCAGGTGGTTCCTGTTCCACGTCAGCCAGACCCTGCTCCATGTCATACAGGTGGTGGTGGGTTACATGGTGATGCTGGCTGTCATGTCCTACAATGCCTGGATCTTCCTCGGTGTGATCGTGGGCTCTGCGCTTGGCTATTTTGTGGTGTTCCCGCTGCTCAACGTGGGCTAGACAGGCCGGAGGCCGTCCCCATGGCCCCTCTGGGGTCACAGCCCTTGTGCTGGGCACGTGGCTCATGTGGAGGACGTGCCCAAGGCTTCCACCGCAACGTGTGAGCTGAGGACAAGAGGGAATGCACCGTCTGGTCTTCTGCTTTTCTTGAATAGCTGCTGTCACTTCTGCTGGGTCTGTCGCTGCCCCCTTGCTGTGTGAGCAGCAGCCCAAGGGCCTCCTGTGCTGCTGGCAGGATTGAGGTGGGCATGGAGACTCCAGATGAAAAAATTCCCAGCCACGCTGCCTGCCGCTCCTTTCCCACCTCCCGTGCTGTCCTTGGCCACGTGGCCATCCCCACCTTGGGGACCTGCAGCTGCGGGACAGAGGGAGCAGCAGCTCAGGGTGCCGGTGGAGCAGGCACTGAGTCCGGCTGGGAGAGCTGGGCATCACCTTGCCCCGCCTCCTCTGAGGGAGATGTGTTCTGGCTGGCTCCTGGATGCTCAATTTATCCTTATGCTCAGGGAAGAAGAAGCTTTGGGGAGAGGTAAGAGGGGGTGACAGCCTCGGCATCCCCTGTGCAGCGCGGTCCTGCCACCCACCCCCTTCACACTGTGCCTTTGGGGTCCTGGAGAACAAGCCATGCCCAGATGTACCTCACGCTGTGGGCAGAGCCCTGGGTGGACCCCAACCCACCTCTGCCCTTCGTTTTTAGCACTTCAGGGATCAGGTCCATGTAGCCAGAGATGAGCTGCCGTCGCTGGCGCGTGCTTCTTCCTAGAGATGCCTGGTTTAGTAAAAGCACCTCAACACTTTGGCTCCTGGTTTGTGTTTGTGTTGCATGGGTGTCACCTCACCAGGGATGCTGCAGGGATGCAGGACATGACACAGCACCCAGGTCCTGCTGTCGCCAGGGTCCTCCACTGCATTAACTCACCTTGCACCTGGGCAGGGTTCAATGGATCGTCCCTTCCCCGTCCCCTGTCCCCAATGCTGCCTTGTCTATGGGTGCTCACAGTCTCAGCCCCTGTGCTCCTTGCAGGTTTCAGGACTCTGCACCTAGCAGCCCCGTTTTCTCTTGGATGGGTTCTCACGTGAGCCCCGGTGTTGCAGAAACTGCCCCAATGCCATCCCCAACCTGGCACCCCTACCTCAGTCCTGCAGACAGGGTGAGCCATCCAGGAACAACCACAGTCTCCTCTGACTTTAAATAAAGCTTTTTTTTTTCCTTTTTATTAATTATTATAAGCATATTTTTAAACATTTGTATAACATCCTTAATAAAATATCTTGGAAGAGACAGGGGGGTTTTTTTGTTTTTTTTTTTTTGTTTTTTTTTCAAAGTTCCCAAAGCAAGGCACTTTAGGGGGCCTCCTCAAGTGGTTTAGACTGGGCATCCCCCGTTCAAAGACAGAAACAACGGCATTAAAACACACACAGAGGTCGAGGGTATCCGCTGCGGGGCACGAGCCGGGCTCCCTGTCCCCGCGCACACCCGTGGCTCCTCTGCCCGCTCACAAGTCTTGCAGCTGCCCCCGCGTGCTTCAAGCAGACCTGCTTGGAGCCTGTGTCCCAGTGTCCTCCTCCTTCTGCTCTTGCGGGTCCTGCCCTTGGCAGCGGCCCCGGGGCGAGCTGCTGCGGGGGCAGACCAGCCGCTTGCCACATCGCGCCTGCAGCGGAGACAGCCCCAGCAGCCCTTTGCAGGAGCAAATCCCGTTTTTTGGGTGGAGGGCATTTCCCCTGTGCGAGGTGCCCAAGGGCAGATGCAGTACAAGTGGCTTTGCGAGCATGGAGGGGTTCCTATAAAAACTGCTGCCTGGCTCCATCCAGCTCCCCTAGACCTGCCGGGCACCAGCGCTGGTTGCCCCAAACGCTCCCCCCACGCCAACCGCTGACCACCGGGTCTGTGCCCAAACACCCCCGCAGCCACCACAACCTGCAGGACACGGAGGGCCCAGGACAAGTTCATCTTTGCAAGGTGACAAGGAGCTCTGCAGGGCTGAGCCACAACACCGTCCTGGGAAAGGCTGCTACCTCCAGCCCAGAAATGCGTGGAGAGACCCAACCACGGCAGCCCAGACGCGGCTGGAGAAGTGGCATTAGGGACAGCTGATCCCTCGGGAAGGCTTTTACACTAGGCGCCAGCTGCTGCCCTAGAAACGCGCTGGGGGCACCAGCCCCGCTCCAGGAATGGGCAGTCTTGGGTTGGTGGCTTCAGTGCTCACTGGCTGCTGCACACAGAGCCCAGCCACCTCCCATGACACCCCCCAAGTGACACGTAGAGCTGGAGAGTGCTGCTGTTCCCCCACTGGCCACACTGTTCCCCCTGGTCCGCACTCCCACCGCCTCCAGGTCTCCTCCGTGCTCCCGCCAGACTGTCCATCTCCTCAGAGCGCTCTTTGCAAAGCCACTCGCTACCCCGCCAGCACCTTCACCAGGCCTCTGTCTCCTGCGTCTCCCACACCTCCCCACCTACCTCCTGCAGCCCTCTCGCCATCCGCGCTCTTTATGGGAGCAGGAAGGTGGCCATGAACTGTCCTGCTTTGCGTGTGGGTGCCTCTGTGCTCCCTGGCTAGCTGGGCCCAGGCTGCAGGACGGGGAGGCTCCCGGGAAAAGCCTCATGGATTTGGGCAGGGGAGGAGGCTCCTGCCCGCCCAGAGGTGAGGAACAGGCCTGGCTGGGCCAGGGCAGACTGTGCGGCCAGCCAGGGGGAGAGCCCAGGCAGCACCATGCAAAGCCAGCCCAGCGCCTGGCAGTGGGGCTCCGCCAAGGAACGCGGCTGAAGCATCTCTGCGGTGGAAAAGAAGGAAATAACACAGAAGCAGGATACAGCAGAGAGCAAAGGGTGCCCTATACTGAGCTGGGGGCCTCCGGGGGTGACCCTCCAGCCTAACCCCATGAGACCACTTGGTTCTGGCCAGCCACACGCAGCAGCGGAGACTCCCTCCCCGGTTCGGCAGCGCTGACCCGCTGTT